CCAAAAGCCTTGAGGGACCGGACGGACGGAAGAAAAACAAATTGCCCGTAGGAGATTTAATTACCGACCTCTCTTCGAGAGGTGTCTTCCCAGCGGAACGCAAACAGCGGACTACAGGGGATTGTTAAAGCTCGTTAACATGCGCGATTAGGCGGCGGCGTATTGTTTCGTCTTTAACGTCTCGCGGCGAATAGGCTTTTTCTCGAATCAGGGAGGGGAGGGGAGTGCGTTGTGCGCGGAGGAATCAGCAAAATAGAAATACTATACGCGAAATGTAAAATGTAAAATATGAAATATAGAATATCATAATTATGAAAGATGGCTCTCGGCGAAACATCGCGGAAAATGATAACGGGTAACGAGATATTCGTGATGCACATAACAAAATTTATGAAAAATCCCATAAATTGTATTTACGATGCGATATTTGGTCTTTTGCGACTCGACAGCACGTGGGAATTAATCAGCAGGCGCGGCATATTTGTACGATGAAAGAAAACAAAGTGAAAAATACATCTTCTCGATGAACTTTGCGTCGGTAATTTTAACGGCGAAGAAGTATCGCGATTTTAAGAGAGGGAACGCGCGTCGCTTCTGCAAATCTCCAAGTACAGTCGATTTCAAGCGAACAGTCGATTTTCGTATTAAAAATTTCTTCTTTCGCGAATGAAGAGCTACCGTGGCGGAGAGAGATTTTCTCGCAGCGCCGCGATAAATCACGTATCCGACAGATGTGATTTCCGCGACGGCGAAAATAGATAATCGTGCGTAAACGTCGTCGCGAATCTCTCGTCGTCGGATCTGTCGATGCACCTCGACTCGATTCTCACGTCGTCTCTGCGCGGTCGCAATTAAGCGAGCGCTTTGCAATCTTCGCGAACGACTTATCCCAGCGAGGGAGAAGCTTTCGACGTCGACGTTCGACGCATCTTTTATTTATTTATGCTAACCAGCTCACCGCGCGTGCATCCACCTCGCCTTCCTTCAAGTTCACAGTTTTAAAATTTCATATTGGGTACATCCCGGTGTACACACGCTCTCCATATTGATATGTATGGGGCGATGCACTTTACTTTCCCTTTGGCCGAAACGCTTTTCATATTCCTGCCGAGGATACGGCTGATATAAAAAACCTCCATCCCTCTCTCACCTTCTCCCCTCCCCCCCTCTCTCTCTCTCTCTCTCTCTCTCTCTCTCTCTCTCTCTCTCTCTCGCGTCGTTCGCGATTTCCGAAGAAAAATGTGGCCGTTCCTTTATTTCATCGACTCATTTCTGCGTCTCTGTGTCGTATTCGTCCGCGTCGCCAATCTATTGTTTTCTTTCTCTCTCTTGACCTCGCGGCGCAGTCCCCCGTTTCACTCGCGCGAATGTTCAACGGGGGGACCGCACGGAGAGGATCGAGTGCTCGTGATATCATTCGCGACAGATAGCGTTTGCTCCCGAGGCGCTCTCTTTCGCCATTCCTTTCACTCGCAAACCGAGCGTATTCGCCAACGGCCGATGTAACGAGCGAATTCGCGCCTATGTAAACGGTAAACTCGGCGCGTCTTTCGACTCCTCCGTTGGCGAGACGCGTCAAACTCTCTCGACTGCCACGCGCGAGATTTCATAAGCGCGCGCCTGCTGTTTGACGCGCGGCGACGTGACGGGAGCGAAATCCCGGCGGCTGATACATCGCGGAGCTTCGCTGCGGTTGTATCGCGGAGGTGCGCTAACGTATCCGTTTCCGCGATTACTCAATCCCATCCCGATCGTAAGACTTTTAACTGCTCCCGCGATCGTTTCGTCTCCGCCCATTTAATTTTGACTTTCACGCCATTTGCTCTGCCTTAACGCGAGATTTTTATTCCACCACGGTGTAACGCTCGCTTCCTCTGCGTCTCTCTGCTACCCTCTTCTGCCTACCAGAACGTAATAAATCCCAGCCATCCTACGCTACACTCTCTTAGTCGGCGCGCACCTCCCGCTCTCTCTCTCTCTCTCTCTCTCTCTCTCTCTCTTTCTCTTTTTTTTCATCTCGTTCTTTTTCCTCGAGCCCCTTATTCACCCCCGTTCGACTCGTGTCTACTTCTCTCTCTCTCTCTCTCTCTCTCTCTCTCTCTCTCTCTCTCTCTCTCTCTCTCTCTCTCTCTTCCTTCCACGCTGCCTGCACCCCCGTTGAAGTCGCGATAACCAGGAAGGTACGGCGGGACGTAATTAGAAAGAGCGCCATTTTTAAACCGTTCCTTTCGCTCCTCGCCCTTAGAACGAGCGCGAACGGCCGTTCTTAGCTTTTTGCCTTCGCAAGAGGGTGCGCGCTCGGATTGGGGACCAACTTTAGAGAGAGTGTGTGAAAGAGAGAAAGCGTGAGCGAGAGAGAGGGGGCAGGAGGAGGGGGGGGGGGGGGGAGAGAAGAGAAGATCATCGAAAAAATGGCACGAGCGAGATGGGAAACGGCCATTTGGAAATTACGAGAGCTATCAGATACTTTGGTATAGAGCGGCAGAGGAAACTTTGGCGAGGAGACGGGTTTGCAGCCGACTACGTATACACACGGCAGTGGCTCTCAAAGTCTTCCGTCTCGCCTGATAATGACTCGAGAGCCCAACCTGCGATTTTCGTTGACGGAAGAAACGGATCGTTGCGCGGAACGATGGATGATAAAAGTGAAAAGAGAAAGGGACCGCGGCGAGGCGGAGGGGAGGGGGGAGGGGGCGTTTAAGACTCTCCGCGATAAAAATATTTCATTACCTTCTCAGCGATATTTCCTCGGGCGTAAACGGATTTGCCCGTTCACCGTTCATTAAATCATGGCTCATTACGGCGAGATATTATTTTTTGCAAGAGCCGCGGCACGCGGCAAGCGAGTTATTCGCGCGCGCGCGTTCGAACGAGAGAAAGATATACGCGTCGTGATTGCACTCGGAGCGTCTGGCGACTTGTTGGGGGAAAAACGCTCGCGCGTTCTCCCAGACGCCGGCGCCGGCCACGTGAATTATGCAAGCTACGCGTATTCTTATTACGCGTTGGTTGTTTTTACTGCGCATTATCCCGAGATGCGTCGTAAAACTTGCGCTTTATCGCGCGCCGAATTATGCGCCGCGCTCCGGCGAATGCGGAGAGCTTTAAATAAATTTATGCATCCTCGCGCCGCGCCGCGGCGTCGAGATATTAAAGTTTGAGAACCCCTATGAGTTATATAACCGTCTGCCGTACGCATCTTCGGTTGTTATGCTACGTGATAGACCCATTGAACTATACGTATATACATCTCAGCCTGCGGCGTAACGACGACAGTCGACTCTTGAAGCCGACCGTTAAAGACGAGAGGGAGGGACGAGGAGAGCGAAACTACACCTGGAGTAGTCTGCCTTGATTGGCGTTCTGCATCAAATCTGAGTTTGTAATTCATACGGTTGCGCACGGAGTCACCGTGTGCTATCAGCTCGCGCGCCGTCACTCGTAACGATGACGACGAACGACGAACGACGACAAACGACAAACGACAAACGACGACGACGACGACGACGACGACGACGACGACGACGACGACGACGACGATGTCGAGGACGACGACTAGGAACGACGCATCGAGATGTCAGTGTTTGACCGACGTGTCCCGGTCTGATTCTGCACGCTTTGCGGGAAAATCGAGTGTAGTCTCGCGTTTAACGCCCGCACGCGAGCGCGCTATTACGAGCGATAATTCGAACGGCAATGTTACGTTTGGCGATATGATAGTGACGTAACCTCGTGAAAACTAAACCCCCTCGGATTGCAATCCCATTCACGGCGGATTATTTCACGTAATTACGAATTATTGCGGGCACGTAGCTGCGTTTCATACTGTGTTTACTCGCATCCATTTAATCGTCTCTCGTTCAGCACACAACGAGAGAGAGAGAGAGAGAGAGAGAGAGAGAGAGAGAAGGGGAGAGAGAGAGAGATCCAGCGCATTATCACGGCGCTCGTAAAAGTTAGCGTTACGCCGCCGCTTCCTTCCGCCTTTTGGGGAAGGAGAAATCGCGCCGCTGTAGTACACGCGCGCGCGTACGGATTAATTAAGACGACAACATCCAATTAGCAGAATACCGAAATTCGTATCGTTGCGACGGCCGATCTCTCGCGCTGCGCCAGAAAAACACAACTCGCTTTGCGAACGGAACGCCAAAGTGCGCGAGCGCGCTCCCGCATCATTAAAATTAAGCTCCGTATCAGTGCGCGCGCTTTTGCAACTATCGTGATTAAATTTGGCTAATATCGCCGTCAGGGATCGTGCTTTGTTTCTACCGCAGACAAATGGCGCGCGCGGTAATTTGTTTCAACAGATTTCGAGAGCGAACGGTATATCTCGCCATGTGTGTTTTCATCATTACCCTTCCCTTAATGAATGCGCGATGCACGCGTATTTACAATAACACGCGTAATTTAATCGACGGATCCTTTTGCAGTCGTGAGTCGTCTAGCTAACCACAGCTTAAATAACACGTGTCGTAGGAGCGCGCGCGCGCGTGTGCGGTGCGTGCGTGTACACGTAACACAAGCGGAATTTCATCACGGCTTTAGCGCTTAAGGGAGTTTCACGAGCGCGCGGTTCTCGCGAGTGGCCTTTCGCGGGTTCCTTTGCGGCTCATTCGAAGCGCGTGCTTAAAATACGCCGCAGTAGTTAGCATCCTTAACGACGAGTAAAAAAAGGAAGTCGTCGTCGCGAAAAGGGGCGCTGGGTGAGATGGATTTGCAGGGGAAGGAGGGAGAAAGGAGGAGAGGGGGAGGAGAGAGAGAGGGAGGGAGAGAGAGGGGAGGGAGAGAGAGGGGGAGAGAGAGAGAGAGAGAGAGAGAGAGAGAGAGAGAGAGAGAGAGCGTGTTTATCCTTTAAAGCGGATGTAGCGGAGGACAGTGTGCGTTTGCGAGGGATAGTACACACACGTGGGCGGAGGGCAGAGAGGGCGGAGGAGGGGAGGGGAGAGGGCGCATTCGCGCGCTCAAAAGCGCGTTCAACTCGCGTAAGTGAAAGCACTCACCCTCTTGCCTCAGCAGCATCACGAGCAGCAGCAGCGCAAAATCCATCGCTCGGCGCTCTCGCGCACCCTCTGCGGATCCGCCGGCTCGGCTTGGCGCGATTATCGCCCGGCTTCGTCCCCGCGACGTCGTAGCCGCGTCGTAGCCGGCGACTCTCCTCCACCTCGTCCTCTTCGTCCTGAGACATCAGAGAAACGTCGCGTGGTTGTAGTTACGTACAGAACGAAAATGTCGTCCGGGGGCCCGGGGTGAGAGTGGGATTGGGATTGGGGTTGGGGGTGCACGGTGTTCGTTCGAGGAACAGCGTCCCTTCGGATCCCCGGCCGTTTTCGCACTCTCTCGGACAGCGAGGAAACGATTTTTCGCGAATGCACCCGCGACCCTGCCCGTGCTCGGAATTCGCATTGACAATGTCGCGGCGTTACATCACATTAGTTAACGTGATGTAACGCCGTTGATTACCTGCGACGTTACAGCGATAAGTATAGACTACGGAGGGGGAGTGGCTGGCGGAGAATTTTAGTAAGCGCTTTACGGGATAATCGCACGACGGAAAATGAGCAGTTCAATCGCTCTTGGTGATCCGCCGGTGGTTCTTCACCGCGAGCGCGCATCACGCATCACACGCATCACGCACGTCTCTTGATTTCATAACGAGCGCGTATTTGATCCTTCAAATCGCTGAGAACCTCTTCTCCCGCGTAAGCGCCGCATATCTTGGCGTTATCGGCGCCCAAGGCCCTCTCGATCATCGTCATCGTCAGGTCGATTCTCGCAGGCACACGTACGAGTCGGCAAGAAAAGAGCACACACGCGCACTCGTCATAACGACAGGGAGGCGATCGCTATCGAGCTTGACAGCGAGCGAGCGAGCGAATGAGAGGGGTCGAGGGGGAGGGGAGAAGAGAGAGAGAGAGAGAGAGAGAGAGGAGAGAGAGAGAGTGAAGAAGGGCACAGGGGAAACGAAGCGAGGAAAGAAGAGTGAGCTCGTCAGGCACGCGCGAGAATGCCCATCGTGACGCGGCGGTCTTAATTACCGGCGAGGTTCTTCGTTATTCCACTGTCAATTAAATTTAATGATTGCCGCGGGTTATTGTGTTTTCATTGTGTACGCCCGGCTAGCAGAAGAAGCGTGTACGCAGCTGGCCTCCTTTATTTCGCATACATTTATCCCACGCGTCGCGATCGCGGCGCGCGTTTGCATCTCCAACTGGTGGAATATTCCGCCCCGTGGCGGGTTCTTCAGGACACTCGTCAGCGAGTCTGCGATTCCCGTGACCGCGATCAACGTTATCGTCCCGTTCTTGCAGCTGCTAGCCTCGCGCGCGACGCCCTTGTCTTCCTCGCTGGCAGTTGGAAATCTTTCGCGATTGAAAGGTCTCTTTTTTTTTCTTCGCCCTTCTTTCTTTTTCACTTTCTTTCCCTCCTTTTTCTCTTTCTCTCTCTCTCTCTCTCTCTCTCTCTCTCTCTCTCTCTGCCGCGCGAGGTGCTAAAAGCGCCCGCTCAGTAGCGAGTCAAGTGCTCTTCATCTTCGAAGCTTTCGGTTGAGAAATTCCGGTAATTTCACATGGCCCGCTGCTTAACTGGATTTCCTCGACGCGAAGTACCAAGTCAAAGTACGCGACGCCTTTTAATCCGCGAGCAAAGGCAGCTTAATTCGCGAGACGGCCAACTGGCATAACGGTTGAACCGAATTAATGAGCGCACGTTTAACGATAAAAATCGCCGAGGCGCGTGAATAAAGCAGAGAGACGTCGGCGTCGCGACGTCCAAAAATAGAGCAACCCCCGTCGCTCGGCCCCCTCGCCGCCCGCTCCCTTCTGTCTAATTCGCCCCTCCCGAACCCCGCGGAACGAGCGAGTTAATCTCGTTAATAATTACTAGCTGTCAAGACTGCCGAGAGACCGCTAAGGCAGTCCGCCGAATGCAACTCGACCCGGGCTGCGTACAGTACCCCTGAATGAATTTATAACGAATTTCAGGAATAATCCTGGAGCCGAGCGGACGGGAAATCTCGGGCGAGCTCTTGTCTGAATAGCCCGAATCAGTCGAGAATACTCGGCGATTTGACGGGATTTCCGTGAGCTGGTGAGAGGCAAAAGGGACGGGGGTTGAAGAAAAGTGAGTGAGTGAGCGAGAGGGGGAGAGAGAGAGAGAGAGAGGGAGAGAGAGAGAGAGAGAGAGAGAGAGAGAGAGAGAGAGAGAGAGAGAGAGAGAATATGAGCGAGCGAATGAGTGAATGAATGAGCGAGAAACGAAACTGCCGCGCCTCTACATCCTACGAACGCCCCAGCGGTGCGGACTTTAAATGCAACTTGTTGCGAGTTTTGCTACAAGTCCCGAACGTTGTCCGGCGTCTCGATATATAGCACGTTCTCTTAGGAGGGACTTGGCCGAGCACGACGCACGCATGTTTCGCCGATCGATCGTCAAAGAGGGTGCGGGAGAGAGAGTGAGAGAGAGAGAGAGAGAGAGAGAGAGAGAGAGAGGGGGGAGAAGAGAGAGGGCGGAGGGTTAACACAGGTTCTGGTTTACCGATTCACAGCGGGCGACCGTAATGAGCGTAGAGATCGAACAGGAAGCTGCTGTTTGTCAAGCAGACCTACCCTGATGCTAACTTCGGAATAGTGATTTGCGCTTATAATTGGGACGTATCTTGCGAGGATTCTGTTTATCCTCCTGGTGTATCACACCAGTTTACTCATCATCATATTTGTAGAATGTATCGGGAATCATAGCCGCTCTTTTTTTCTCTTTCTCGTTCTTCCACCTCCCCCCTGCCCCCCCCCTCCACTCCTCTTTCTCCCTTTCTCTGTTTCTCTCTGCTTCCAGTGCGGCCTGAAGAAATTTTTCAAAAATTTCAAACGCATATTCCATATTCGATCTACTCAAGTCGTTGATCGACAATCCGATGAGACTTCGTCTGAATAAGGAACAATTCCAAAATTTATACGACTAGGTTGGAATAAGTGCGCGATTTTCGCCCGGATGGTACACGGCGTATTCGCAGCGGCTCTTCCTTCCCACCTGCCACGGTCGATCGCGGGCACCGAGTTAGGAAGACGGACTCGAGTTCCGAGAGGCGAAAAATTCGGCGTGCCCAAACGCGATTACGAAGTTTACGCGGCGCCCAATATCGAGATGCGAGGGGAAGAGCCGCGCGCGAGCGAACGCAGCGGAGCGAGAAATATTTCTTCCCCCCTCGTGATTCGCCGCGCTCTCGCCGTACATTCGCACGCGATTTTTCTCGGGAGCCACAATGGGGCTTCGCGCGCGGCCTCCGCGGCTCGTAAATGATTCCGAATTCGAGAGTTCGGAAGGTCGGCCGGAACTCGCGCGTATATTTTGTAGCGCGCCTCGTGCTTTATTTATTCGCCGAGACTATTCTCGTTCGTCGTCTCATTTCCTTTTCCCTTCGTGAATGCACCACGTGCACGACTGACCGCGTGAAACACAGCTCACACACGCCTCGCTGAGCCGCGTCTCGTCTCTCGATTGTGCCTCTATCGATCGCGCGAATCGATTTGTTTTGCGGGAGTATTCCCTTTCGGATTCGTAGGAACAAGGGACGACGGCCGGCTCACGCGCGTGTGAAAAAGAAAGAGAGAGAGAGAGAGAGAGAGTGTGTGTGTGGGTGTGTGTGGGTGTGTGCGCGCGCGCCCATTCATTTATTTATCCTTTGACTTATTCAAGCCGCGGCAGTTTTGTTGGATCTATCGGCTCTCCCTCTCTAAGCCCCTTCCTCACTCGCCGCCATTCTTTGAGGAAATTCCTCCGGCGGCGGAATTACGATATGAATAAACGAAGAAGATTTTATCGCCCTTAGACCATCCCTTTTGCGATCGTACGATGCAAGTTAGAACCGCCGAGTTTAATACCGGTGACGCGGGGAGGGAGGAGAAAAATTTCTTCGACAGAGTATGAATATATTCTGGTGGGCAAGATTGGTTATCCCCTTCCAACTTTTGATTGGACATTAATCCTTAACGCGGTGTCATTTAACCTTTGCTTACGAAAGCGCCTGGTCCCCGGTTTCTTTCCGCTACAAGGAACAAAGGGTGAAAAAACACAGAAGAAGGAGGAGGAGGAGGAAGAAGAAGAAGAAGAAGAAGAAGAAGAAGAAGAAGAAGAAGAAGAAAAAGAAAAAGAAAAAGAAGAAGAAGAAGAAAAGAAAAAGAAAATAGAAGGCTTCTCTCGGCTCAGAATACGCGAGATTCTCGGCACGGAGCACGACGCGGCGCGTGAGCGGAGATATTTTTTCATGGCGCAATTTCGCGTTGTCTTATCGCTCCGAGGATTTATAGGTAGCAGCCGGCATTAAAGTCCCACTTTGTCGTTAGGATAACACATCCGAATCTTTCGAATTCTCCAGCATGCTCTGTTGCACATACACTCGAAACACACGTATATACACGCGCGCGCGCGCGCACACACACACACACACACACGCGCGCGCGCGCGCGCACACATATACACGCGTGCAACGCACGTACAAGCACTCCGATTTCGACAGTCGCTAATTTCGCTCGCGTACGATTTCCGCTGCAATCGCGATATGGAGATATTTGACGGCGGTGTCACACCGTGCGTCGTCGATTCAATCGTCCTTTCGATCTCGCCGCTCTCGTAACTACCATCTGCGCGACACCGTTCCCGCTGCCGAGCGCAAAATTCAAGCCTCGCATCCGTGTTACTCTCTTATTGCTCCTTTCGTCCGCTCCAGCCAGAGAAACCTGCCGCGTTCGATATCTGTCGATATAAATCGGCGCGCGCGAGCGCTCGGTGAAATCTCTCGATCGTTTCGCGTCGTGAAATCGAGACCGACGCGCGTCGCGTCGTCTTCCATTTCCGGCCTGCGCTCGTCCCGTATCTCTCGTCCGTAATCGACCGGATCGTCGATCGCATCCGATGACGCGCGGCCTACGTTTGTCCCCGCAGTCTTTTTATCGCTCTATCCTTCCGCTCGATTATAAGCGACTCTCATTTTCACCGACGATCCCTCGCCCGCGCACCACCTTTGCTCCTTGATCCCGCTTAAGAGCGGCTTGCCGCAATTGTGCCGGAAATAAGAGGAGGACGGCGGGAGGGAGGGGCAGTGAGCTCTGCATCTCGACGCTCGTGTCTCGATTAGGGCGCGCGTGTCGTGCGCGTTTATCTCGGGCAGCTGTACTCGTTCGTTTGTATCCTTACGATTTCATCAATTCCGATGTCCTCTTCGCGCGCGAGCGAGCGCGATTCTCTGTCGGGCATCAGTCCCGGGCGTGAGAAATATCGTTGCGGTGGTCCGGTCTCGCGACACCGCCGCGCGACGCGTCCTCCCGAGCGGAGAGCTACTAGTGAATCTTGCGAGGCGGAAATGCAGATTGCGTTGACAATCAATCGCACTGTGTCAATTGGACTTGCGGCGAACAAGTAGAGCGGGCTTTGCGCTCGATCAAAGTAAGCGGACAGCGCTGTTCACCTACGAATTCGCACGAGTCTCCAGATAATGGGAGGAAATTTGGACTGCGTGCGAGATATTCCGATAGAAGGCTCGTCGGCGATCTCTCTCTCTCTCTCTCTCTCTCTCTCTCTCTCTCTTTCTCTCTCTCTCTCTCTGCTCTCCCCACTCATGCGTATTATTCCCAATCGAGGTCGGCGACCGGTTGAAATTTTGCAAAACCGCATTTATTTCGAAACGCGCGCGCGTTAATTCGCGTTGTTGGCTAATTTAAGCGCACCGGCTCGCGAGTCCTGGCGCGCGATTCGCATAATTTTGCATAGATATTATACACACGTACACACGCACATACGTACAGATATATGCAGGATATATGCAGGAGCAGGGTGAGGAGCAGCACAGATGTGTCCGCGGCGATCTCCCGGTTGCGCGGCGATCGAAATATCTCAAAACCGCATTTATTTTGGATTGCCTGCGTTAATTCGCGTTGTTGACCGATTCGAATCGGTATTGTGCGCCGCGGAGTTATGATTCGCATAATTTCACTCGCGCGAGCGAGCGAGCGAGCGCGCGCGCGCGTGTCTGTGTGCGTGCGTGCGTGCGTGCGTGCGTGCGTGCGTGCGTGCGTGCGTGCTTGCGTGCGTGCGTGCGTGCGAGTCGTGCAACGATGAGTCGTTGCGCGATGAAACGCGTTCAACTCGCCGCCGCGCCGCAGCGGCGGCAGTGATAAAGCCTGCGTACCGATAGCGGGTGGGAAATGGGGAGGGGGCAAGGGGGTAGAGAAGAGGGCCGATTATTACCGATATTTAGGACGGTCGGTCGTTTATTTTGGAGGACGCGTGGGCGCGTTAATTCGCGTTACCGGGCGATTTGAGGGCGCGCGTTGGGTGCGCTTCCGCGGTTTTCAGCCTACCTTCGCGGCACTATCCGGGTTAAGAGCGGCTCGCCGCAATTCCGGGGACAGCATCGAAACTCCGGCCCGCTGATTTCATCGGCCGCGCGCGAGCGCGAGCGCGAGCGCGAACGCGCGCGATCGAGCGGCTGGCGGAATGAAAATTAGAGGCGCCGCTTGTCGTCGTCGTCGTCGTTGTCGTCGGCCGCACTTTTCACTTGCCCGAACAGTTGTTCCATTCGCGGGTACGCGCGCGCGCGCGCGCGCGCGAGAGTCTGCCCGTCGTGGGCGCAATCCACAGGGACTGATGAAGTCAATCTCGCCACTCGCTGGCGCGACGCGATTTTAATTCGCTGCCGCGGGGCCGCCCGCGAAGGCCAGACGACATCGCGCGTGCCGGTCCCGTCTGATCCACGTGTGTTGCGATCTTCAGCACTTCCAGTCAATCCCCATCATCTCGTCGCGGGCAAACTGCACTGAGCGAGAGCGACACGCGATCACGTCCTCGTCGAAGACGAGCCGGAACTCTCTCCGGTTGAACTGCACTTCCGCTCAGACGTAGCGCATCCTCTCTTTTCCTATATCCGCTTTTGCTGCCGCACTGCGTATGCCTCGTGCGCGGGTATATCCCGAGAGAAAGGCTTCTCTGTCCGCGCTGCGTCACCGTCGTGTGTCCTCTCTCTCTCTCTCTCTCTTTCTCTCTCTCTCTCCTCTCTCCTCTCTCTCTCTTACCAGGCCAGACGCATTACGCGAGGGAGACGCGTGTGCGACAACTTCGTAAATGGCGCCGCGCGACGCGCACGCGGGACCACCGTCCGGGTGAAAGTTCGCGTCGCGGATGGCCGATGCCGACTACGAAAGCTCGACCGCGCGCCGTTTTACCTCCGTGCGAGCTGCTTCGTAGCACCTGAGCGCTTGCGCGCCTCGTGTCCGGCAGGTGCAAGTGCACGCGCCGAGCCGCGCAGTCGGCGGCGCGGCACGGCGCGGCGCGTCGATTCCGGCGCGACCCGCGCCGCGATTACCCCCGTCTTACCCCCCCCCTGTATCGCGGCGACGATGATCGCGGACGGAAGGAAAATTTCTGCCAAAAATATCGGCGAGATGAAATCTGATTACGAGAGCGGCCGTGAGCCGCGAGGGGGGAAATTAGAGGGAAATCAGAGCGACGGGTCGGGCAACGCGCGGTAAATGAATAATCTCATCGTCGACGCTTGCGCATCGTCGCGGGTATCGCGCTCGCTCGGGCGGAGACGCGCGATTCGGGAAAGCAGCTCTCGTCTTAGCTGTCGGATTGACACTGTGCGCGCGTGAATATTTCAGTAAATATTATTTCAGGCGCGCGGTGCCAGGCGCCTGGCAGGTCTGCTGCGAAATTTATCGCCACGCGCACATGCGACTCGTGCGCGCGCGCGCGCGCGAAGGCTTCGCGTGTGATCCCCCCTCCTGCTTTCTCGCCGATCTAAAGTCCGCGCTTAATTGCGCCCCGGCCAGCGGTCGTGCACGCGCGTCAGCAAAAAAATCGACGCAGAGCAGTCGAGGTGGGTGCGAGCCTCCGCGCGGCGGAGTTACGCGAGATCACGCGAGCTGACGCGCGGAAGCGCGACGCGCGCGTGACGGGATGATCTCGCATTGACGAGTCGCGGCGGCGCACAGTTTTGCGAAACCTCCAAATAGTGGCCATAAATCAATTGTCGCTATAATGTACTATAGTTGAATGAAAAGCATACTATATTGTAAATACTAGTACTTTGTGACTAAAATAACATGTTTTCTAGCTTTATTATTTTATTTTTTACTTTTTTGCTTATTTTTTCTGTCTTTCATTTTTTTTGGTTTTTATCCTCTTTTTTAGTTTTTATCTTCTGCTTTTTACTTCATATAACTATTAACTAAACAAAATATTTAATATAACTATTCATCGTCCGAAACTATATTTGCTACAACTGGATTTGCAAGCAATTCAATAACTTCTTTAGGGAAGGGATCGGCTTTTTTATCTGAAACTTTTTTTAAAGACAAAATAATGGGATCTTAGGAAATAAGTCTTCATTCGTCGCAATTCTCGAGTTTTTTCTTGTATGATACTCTCTCATAACACTCTCTACAGTCTTTATTTTTACTATTGTTTACTACATTATTTAATTAGAGCTTAAACATTATCGTTAATTGTTATATTTGTAGTTAACATTAGCAAAATTAACTAGAATAAAGAATTTTGATAGAGGATATAATTTTTGTGTTGAACAATATTACCCGCAGTAGTCAGCGTCTGATCGTAAGCGCACCGAAAGTGCGCAAACTCTGTTCATAAAATTTATCATATTTTTGTAAGCGCTGGATATCGCTGTTTCTACCTTTGCATAAGGATTAATAGATATTTTATCTTTATTTTCACAAAGTTACAACATGGTGCGAAATGATGCATTTTTTATATATCACGATCGAAGTGATCAACTGTATATGAAAAGTGAGTCCTGTAAATCTAATTTTTATTGTATATACTTGTAACTTTCTAATATACTCTTTATTGGAAATAAAACTACACAGATGAGATATTAGACAGGGAACATCATTTTCATGATAAAAAATTGTTTCAACGCAAAATCAGTTATATCATTTGGAGGGTTATAACCCAGCTATTCTGTATACTTCGCATCACGTGTACATTTGAATTCACTTATCTTCGCGATACAATTGGATTTCATCAAAATGTTACTACAACTTATTAATTTGGACCTTTTAGAAAATATATTGAAAACGGGAGCCGAAAATTTCGCTTTTTATTTTTTCCTATTCGGGCCACGTTTAGCGATTTCTGCAACACTGTGCGGCGCCCCGGATCGGCCGCGAAGACGCCGAGGACATTGTGATACGCTCTCGGCCGCGTGTCCAGACCTGTCGTCGCGACACTGCGATTTCTCTCGCTGATCACAGGATGTCGTGTGAAAACGAAGGCGCATTGTAATACGCGTTACATTGTCCGCGCGCGGAAGAGCCGGCAGAACGATAATTCTTGGCCGCCACCGTTGCGCGCGTATGCATTTCCCGCGGGTAATTTACGTCGCTATACCGGGCGCCGATTTTCGGCCTACTTGACGAGAGCGATCGTTGCTCTCTCGCGCAACTCTCGTAAGCGCGCGCCGCTGCCCTCGATAGATCGATATGGCCCCGGCGAGTCGCGCGCGCGCGCGAGGTGGCGATGCGCGCTTGGGAGTTTGCGGAGGCTGCCGTTACCGTTGCCGTTGCCGTTGCCATTGCCGTTGCCGTTGCCGCTGCCGTCGCTGGCTCAGAATGCGCGTCCACGACGCGCGGATAATTCGATTGTTGCTTCGGCGCGCGTGCAACTTGTACGTGACCCCGAAGTCACGTAAATTCAGTTTCGCGCGTCGGGGCGCTCGCGCCCGGCATTACTCGTTCGACTAATTGCCCGAACAATCGACAACGACCGGCCATTCTCGCGGCCGTTCGGTCGCGCGCCAATTGGCCGGTTTGTTTGCGCCGGTCATTTAAATGCGTCGACGACCGGCGCCGTTTGGCGCGCACAACGCTCGCGTCGGATCAATTATTATTCCTTCCTTGTTTTCTCTCTCTCTCTCTCTCTCTCTCTCTCTCTCTCTCTCTCTCTCTCTCTCTCTCTCTGTTCTCGGCCGCGTTATCGTCTCGAAGGAAGATATTCGAGCCAAGTCGCACAGACGCGACGTGACGCGCGACGCGCGTTGCTGAGTTGTCAAAAAGAACGCGCAGCGTGCACGAGAGGCGGAGTCGAAGATATGGAGGCTGTCGAATCGTTTGGAGTCGTTTGCTCGGTATTATGAGCGAAACTCGTCGCCCGCGACGGAAAATCCGGAGATCGTTCACTAGTCGCCGCGTATCGGACTTGGTGAGCGAGCGAGGACGGCGCGCGAGAGAGGCTGAAACTAATTTAACCCTGTCTCTCTTGGCGCGAGCGCCATCCGCTGGAGAGCACGTTCGCTCCACTTTGCCGGCGCACGAAAGAAGCACGGCAGGAGCACGGCCCGGCAACGGCGACGGCGACGGCGGGGAAATATCGCGAGAATAGCGTAATATGGCGCGCAGGTGCACATCCCGGCGGGCCGCATATTTGCGTACAGAGGAGATAATCTCTTTTCATTTACGCCGAGCCGGTTAGCGGTCGTCGCCGGTTGCGCTCCGGCCCGGAATTTGCCGATCTTCTTTCCGCTCGACTTCTTGCCGCCGGCGCCGCGCCCGAGCCGGGGAGCACGCAGACCGAAATTGGTGCGACGGCGGGCGCGCCGCGTTACGGTAACGGTTACGGTAACCGTTAAGCGAGCGAGCGCGCGCGCTGCCGCGATTCCACGGTTCATCTCGTCGGGGCGAAGAGTGCGCGCGCGCGCACTCGAGACGAAACGAAATTCCGAGGCAAGGATCAAAGGCCGCAGCGCGCGCTTTCGCGTCGTTTCGTTTCGTCTTCGCCTCCTCTGTTACTCGATATTGCACCGCGAGGCGTTCCGGCGAAATCAAGACGCCGGGTTAATGCCGCGGCGCGCAACGGACGCGCATACAAGCTCTCTCTCCCCCCTTTGCAGGCAACGTTGCCCCGCCGCATTCCTGCGTGCGCCTGTAATTTAGATTTTTCGCGTCGCGCTATCGCGCCGATTCAAATCCGCCTGTTCGATCGCCGCGAATAATCCGAGCTGGTCTCGGTATGAACGTCGTTGCGTCATCTTGCCCGATCTTCTGTCATTAATGTTCCCGACGTGGGAAACGAGAGACGAGCGAAACAACAGATTGTACTCGCTGTGAGATGAGCGATCTCTCTCTTTCTTTCTCTCTCGTTTGCTCTCTCTCTCTCTCTCTCTCTCCCTCTCTCCTCTCTCTCTCTCCCTCTCTCTCTCTCTCCCTCTCTCTCTCTCTCTCTCTCTCTCTCTCTCTCTCTCCCTCTCTCTCTCTCTCTCTCTCACTCTCGCTCTCTTTCGCGCAAGGAGGAGCTTCGCGTTTTATAGGAATCCGTTTCCGCTCGCTAAGCCCTTATAATATTTATGCCGTCGTCTACAGGCTTCGCCCGCAGACTCTCACCCAGTCGATCCTCTTTAGATCCGCATTTCGGTATAATCGCGGCAGAGTCTCGCTTTGACAGCGCATAAAAACCGAATCGAATAATTTATCAGATCGTGCTGCCGCAAGGTTATTAACGCAGCAATAAATGAGTAATCGGTTTATGCGACCTCCCGGAGCGGGCGGGAAAGTGCGAGGAAGGTAAAGTGAGCGAAAGAGAGGGTACCGGTGAATCTTTGAGAACGCAATCGTGAATCAGCACTCACGGCTGAATACCGTTGCGCTAATTTCTTACTTGACGCGCAAACCGGTGCGAAAACAAAATTAACTACTTTGCAATTTGCGAAGTTCCTCGATAATTCGCGAATTTACGAGAATAATTGGCGACTTTGTAGACTCTGTAGATTTGATAGCGATGATACCGGGGCGAAGAGGCCATTATCATTAATACATTGTCATTTCATTATTATTAAAATCCCTCCGTCCCTCGTCGCGAGTTTCTGACGTAGAGGTATTTCCTCCATCAGGAGAAAACGGCTGACGAGAAAATAGAGAGAGAGAGAGAGAGAGAGAGAGAGAGAGAGAGAGAGAGAGAGAGAACGCGCGCAAATCGCATCGGGGGAAATAATCGCAGCGTCGAGCTCTCGACCGAGTATTTATTATTGCAAGGGTGGCCGGGGCGGGGGTGGGGGAGGGAGAGAGAGCAGTCTTCGGTCAATTAGTCGTCTGATCGTGCGGAATCCACGTGATTTTCTCTCGCGCCAGCGCATCGCGACGGGTCGACGTGCCGGACGCCGGCCATTATCAGTGGAAGCGCGGGGAAGGAGCGAGAGGGAGAGGGAGAGAGCGATCGGGGAAATTCGGTCGGCTGCGGTCCGCGTCGAGTACTCTCGATGACAAGCGAC